TAAGCCAGTAGTTATCAAAATACTTTTTGCTTGGTCGGAAACATTGTGCACAGGAGGCATTACTCTTGCTAGTACTTGTAGAGAAAACAAAAGAGGACTTCCTAGCAGGTCATAGAAGGTGTAGCCAAGACAACAACGTAACAGGTACACCGCATAACGCTAGACAGCCCAACAGATACACCGCATGTAATTTACTTAATAGGTTAAGGAAATAAGCTCTGAGGAAATGCTCATAACTTTTTCGGATATCGGCCATTTTTTGTGTTTTTGAGCTCATCTGAAAGCCCGTCTTTGTATATAATTTATCTACTTATTTCAGAATGGAGTTAACAAGAGAGCAATTAGGTCGCTGATGATGCACAAACGGCTGTTGGGTTCAAATGCAACGGTGGCAAGTGAACGCATCAATCTGGCTGGGGGGAAGACACAGTTGGCTAAAGCTTGTCAACTCCACCTTGGAATAAGTAGATTAATTACATAACAATCAACGCGAGAGAAGACGGGCTTTCAAGTGAGCCCAAAAACACAAAAAAAAATTACACGCATTTTCTCAAAACTTTTTCCCCAACGTATTATGATATTTTCCAGATACCCTTGATACCATTGATTACCATCAATTTACCAATACCATTGATTTGGAATGAGAAAAACATTATTGTTATGTCTATAGTACTTCATACGGTCCATTTCTCGAGTATCTTTGTAAAATATCATAGGTGGAACATAGGTAAGCGAGTATTGTTTTGCAAAGATTGCAAGTTCTATTCGATGACTACTAGTGCCATCAGCGATGAATATGTAAATTGCACGAGTGCACAAATTGTAGATTTTAGATCAACAAAATATACAATTTTTATCAGCAGTAAAATCTCTTTCTGAAAATCGTCAAAACACTAGTTCTTTCCAAATCATTAAGTGCTAAGAAAAGCTTTTCACAATCCACACCTAATGCGACATTTGTGTTTCAACTTTCGATTGCGTGTAGTAGAAAGGGCGGTGAGAAAATCTATATTTAACAAGGGAAACCACTGAAAAGATTTAAAATTTACTGCATTTAAAGTTACGTTCAAACATCTCAGAAAGTTCCAATATATTTGTCCTTATGGAACTCTTCTTTTCCTGGCTATCTCACGATCTTGTATAAACGTAGTATGTGGTCGTCATTTTCAAATTAATCCTTAAAGTTTTTCTTTATCGATTTTTCAACCATATGTAGCATGTGCCCATATTTAGAGATGCGCATTTGTGCAACGGAAATCAAACATGGTCCATGCAGAGTCGAAGCAGTTCTGTTCTTTCCGATTTCAAAATCACAGCAGATGCTGACGCCTTAGGAAAGCTGTCGTTTTTCCTCGGTGCTCCATTCAAGGTTTCGTTTTTCTGTAATTTTGTAATTTCTGTAATTGTTGATGCAATTATGTTATAGACTGAATTCAATTTTTAAGCTTGAGTTTCTTCGTCTAGGAGCTTGTTTGGCTCTCTGGATCGAGCCAAGACCAAGAATTTACACTCCAAGGTGATCAGCCTATCTTCGTCGTATTTGGGTACAATGGCAACAGCACATCTTTACAACACCGTAGAGGCTTTACTGTGATGTATTCGACACGAGGTAAGCAAATTTGAGCCTCCTATCTATAAGTATGCAATTCAAAAAGCCCTTCCACATCTTCTAGAAAAGTTTTTTGGGAATTGACAAAAAATTTTCTTTAGTAGCTTTTTGAGCATTAATATACATGTATATATGTGTGCATATGTAGTACTTAAATATTGGGTGGTTTGCAAAACTCAAACCTCGAACGGGAGTTGAACTCGCGTCTCACCCTTTTTGGGGACGTATACTAAATACAGCAATACCGGAACTTCTGTTGTGTTATCACAGTCTCTAGAACAACAAGTATCGAGTCTGTCAACAACCAACCATCAACGTTCTGGTCTGCTAGGCACATATTGGTATCAAACCCAGTTAAGCCAAGAGCTATTGGATATACGAGATGAGCAAAGATCTTAGTGCATACATTTTTTTATCAGCCGTAATTATGCTGAACTTTCTCGTTCTTCGACGGCGTGACCATAGAAGAATTAGTAATTGTGAACAAAGCACTGATAAAAAACATCATGGAGCAAATTTATGAACCGTCATCTTTTTGCGTAAAGTGGAATGGCGTTCATTTCCTTAGAAAAGTGTGAAACGATTATTAAGTTCAGTGCACCTTCATCACTTTTCTTCATCTGTGTAAAATACTAGAGTATCGAAGTGAAGCATGAGACTATTTGAGCCTTCAGCTGAGACAAGTCAAATTTCAAAAGCCTTCCATAAAAAAATAGGTAGCAGTAATAAGCTTGTCAAGTAGAAGAGCCTTTGCGACGGAATAGTATCATATTACAGCCAAACCAAGCGATTATGGTGATCTATATATTCATCATTCAAAACATTGAAGCTTTATGAGCAAAGATGTGTATAAATAAATAAATAAATAAATAAATAAATATATATATATATATATATATATACATAATATGATATTCAGATGTGCCAGCGCACTTGCCTACACGAGAATCAGAAAAATTCCATTCACTACGCTCCGATACGGTGGTCATTGCCTTTCTATTGGTTTTGTTTTTACTGATTATTTTTACTCCTCCATTCTTGTGTGCCGCGGTCACTAGAAGACTACGACATCATGGCATTCGTGAACCCCCAGCGTTGGATAAAACGTTAGTCTTACATATAGTATATTTCAGTTTCGAAAATATTCTGTAAATACTGCTGATGAGCCGTTTATCCACCGCAGAGTACAATGATTTCTATTAATGAAACACTAAATTTAGATATAATAGCACGATGATTCAATCGGGAAACACAGAAAGCACGCAAATATGTGGAGAGAAGACGACCGGTTTTATCTCCAAGAAAAGTGTTGGAATCCAGCTCAGTGTACAGAATACACCAAGGTATGCTGTTTTTTTCAAGGATGAGCATATAAAACGTGGATAACCATTAAGTTTTCCCACTCGTAAATGTTAGCACAAATGAAATTTGGCTCTTTCTGTTTATGAGGGAACAATGAAAAACCAACTTAATTCGCTGGAAAGCAGCTTTTCATAGTAGTGTTAGTGACCAATTGAAAGCTCAGACTTGAGGCTACAGCACCACTTCACGGGTTTTCCAAAACACCTTTCTATAACGTTGCAAACTCCGCACAAATTTTTATCTCAGACGATCATAATTCTCGCTGGACAGAGCTGTTTCTCTGGACTACCACTAATCATTCGATAGCTTAATCGAATTTGATCTCGACTCTGTGTTTATATCCTAAAAAGACCGTTTCTCTGAAATGAAGCAGGTTGAATGAGTTTAATTTCCATTTGCGATCGAGGGCAACATGCGTGTGTGTGAGGAGGCCACGTGGACTGCTAACGCGATACTCCTCTAAAGTACATATGCCCGAAAATCGATGGTCGTCGGATCGTCGAACGTGGCTGCCTCAGCCAGCCGCACGTGAGTTGGCCAAGGAAGCCATTGATTGCAGACGGGAATTTAATTTATTTTATCTGCTGCGTTTCAGATAAACGGTCTTTCGGTTCATAGACATAGCGTTGGAATCAAAATCGATTACGCTACCAATTGATTATCAATAGTCCAAAGAAAGAGCTCTGTCCGGCGACAAATATGTGTGTTTGAAGCCAGAAAATCTCCTCCTGTAGCAAACTTCAAAAACCTTTTTCGAAATCAGATGACATGGGGCTATAGCTTCAAGTCTTAGCTTTCGAAAGCTAACTAACACTTCTATGAAAAGTCCCTTTCCAGCGAATGAGATTGGTTCTTCATTTGTCCTCTCATAATCGGAAAGATCCTGAAATTCCTCATGAAAATACATTTCGTATCCACTTCGCTGAATTGTTTGATTCCTTTGTTTTTTAGGTTCTCACACGCAGGTCTGCACGTCGAGTCACCCTTGCCTCGTGGAACGTCTTCGATGTCGACATCCGATGAATTAGAGTACGATTATTATGATGGTACCACCATACCTGGATCACTTCTTGCACCTGTGAGCAATCATATGATGTCAATAATTGATATCGATCAAATAATAGGGCAATCATCAATATTTTCAACCCGAGATGAGAATCAGAACGCAGACGCTCAAATGTGAGCTAGAAACCGGTGTGTGGGACTTATGATAGAGTGAAATGTTCCTATTTATAAGAAATTTATTATGGCTGAATAAAGCAGTTATGCTAAATATTCTGGGCAATCAGATTGGGTAAACCAACGAGTTTCATATGTTTCATGATTGTCAATCCTCTATAATCTTCACTATCTATGTCTGATAAACCACATTATTTTAATAAGTGAGTTTTATTTATCATATAATGGCAGTGAGTGCGACACATTTCCACTCTGATTCAATGGTAATGGCCTTAAGCGATTTTATGGGAATACTAACTTTATGTCTCTTGCTGCACTTGGAATTAGACGCACTTCTTAGTTTTAGAACCTAATGAGATAAATTTCTGAATGGAAATTCGTGTATGTGTAAAAATCGACTTCAACTCAATAAAGTTTTCACAATATCTCACTTTTTCTTTACGTTTCGTTGTTCACTATTCCACTGCGCTCTTGATGTGGTTGGAACTTAGAGTGTACAGTAACTCCAAGTTTCGTTTTTCCCAAAATCCATGAAGTACTCTATCATGGTGTTGTCGCTTAATAAACATTTCTGCAGTCTAGTAATTAAAAGAATATAGTCAGATGTGAAGCTGACTGCGTCGCCAATCAAACCATACAGCTTGCAACATTTCTATGATCTGACTTTCTATTGAACAAACATTAACGTTTCTATGTTCTTATTCGTCTGCACTTGTTGTAATTATATAGAATGCAACCATGTTTAATGATAGCTACACCAATATTCGAAATTCTAGTATTTTTACTGCATTTTTCGCAGTGTTATGATCATACATACATTCTTAACAAAATTGAGTGGTGGGCAAAAACACGGCCTAAGGCGAGAATCGAACGCGCTTTTCATCCTATGCGGAGACGCGTGCTCTACCACTACACCACCAAGCATTTGTGCCACCCCTCATTCTTCAACATCTCTACGTTGGCTATCAACCACCAACCTTTGACAGGTTTGCTTGAGTATGCGGTTTCGCTTTATAAACCCAGTTGAGCTGACAGCCCTTGTGATAACTAGTATTCGAAATTTCTAGTACTTTTACTGTATTTTTCGCAATGTTGTAATCATTCATATATTTTTAAGAGAATTGAGTGGTGAGCAAAAACGCGGCCTACAACCCGACCTAATTCGTTAAAGTTCAGTGGCTGACAGCTAACATAGAGATGTTGGAGAATGAGTGCTGGCGCAAATGTGCCTCGGTGGTGTAGTGGTAGAGCACGCGTCCTCGGATAGGATGAAACGCGCGTTCGATTTCCGGCCGAGGCCGTGTTTTTGCTCACCACTCAATTCCCTTTAGGAATATATGATAGCTACACCGCCAATCAAAATATTCAGCCTATAACATTTTTATGTTCTGATTTCTGTCAAACACACAGTTGATAATGTTTTTGATAGCTGCCTGTAGGGTTTTACATGTATACTTGATTACTTATGAATTTATTTGGTTGGAGCAAAACAATATTACATGAAAAACAATCATTGCTTTTCATATAGGTCCAAATGGGACCACTTAGAGTCAAGCTCTCAAACGCTCTTGCCGCGCTCAACTTATCTAATTTTCCTTTATTGTCTCTTGTATATCAACTGAAATAGATCATATCTACCTGACTTCGTTTGTATCCTACAATGACAAACAAAATATTTAGATTCTCATTTAAATATCTGGCAATGCAGGAGTAGGAACAGTTATAGAGTCTGCCGTCATATCTTACTGAACAGCGAGAAGTTTCAAAGGTTGAAAAAAGGATCTACTTTGTGAGTAGGAAAAAACCTTTGAGAGAAGTATAACTGCTGACATATGTCTGTAAATCTATATCAGCGTTGTAAAAAAGTTGTTTAAAATTCTTCTAGTAGGTATTGCCATTGCCAATAGTGTCGACTCCAAAAAATATTATCCACGTACTTATCGCGGAGAATTTCACGAGATAGTTGAGTAAGTCAGTATGAATTAGCTTTGTAGATAGCAGTTAACAAAAGAGCGAACTCACTGATTCGAATAACAAGCGCGTGAATCGATAAGCACTAGCAATTCCGTTGAAAAAAGAAGTTGTTGGATTTTTTGAACTAAAGGAAACGCCACGAGATTACCAGGATTTGGATAAAGTCCAGCTATAATGAATGTCTTTTCACTGTTGTCAGGCGATCAGAGTTTTACAGAAGCAACTACGAATAAGAAATCCAACGAACTTAGAGACTATCATAGAACCCCGGCTTTGAATGTAATCGAGAGTGTACTTCCCACTGACTTTCTCTCAATTATCGTAGACACGTTTTGTATAAAGGGTAGAGTCGTCTATTTTATTAGCTGCACGACGAGATAAATAGTGATGTTGCCTGCTACACGACGATAATGGAACACGTTCTATTAATCCTCGTTCGAGGGAATTAATTACAATTTCCTATCTCGGCCACGGAATAGTTTTAACGGGTAACCAATACCTCTCGGAAATGAATAGGCTAGCTGATTCTTCCATTATAACCCACGCGCAGCTCCGGACTCAAGGCTGGCTATCATGAACCTATTTTTGAGAACTGGATTTTCATATAAATGCATTGGAATACTGACATTTTAGAAATTCTATTCATGTTTTCAAGCAATGCGGTAGACTCCATGTACTATGTTCTCGTTTCTTCGAATAGCATTCGTACCGCAAAATATCCAGGGGAAACCGAAAATTAGATTTTCGTCGTCATTATACAGACAAAAATTAGTACTTTAAATGTTCATTCATTTTCATGGCGTTGTAAACATAAGTAATATAGATCTGGTACTCTGAATCAAAACACAATTTATTTATACCCCATGATATAGGAAGTTCTTAGTGGATTCCTATGATTTTGAGGATGATCACTGATGATGGGTCACGATGCAGCCTACTTTTTTGAATGGGCAAATTACATCTCCAAAAATAATGTTATAGCATATTTTTGTAAGCCAAATCTGAGGTTGTTACAATACGGTTTAATCGACAAGCTGACGTTTCAGCCTAGTCGTCTTTTCAGAGGCTGAAAAGATCAGGTTGTCCACAAGTTGGTCAGCCAAACACATCCAATACTTCAAGATAAAAATCATCAAATCAAGATTGCAATCGCATCAAGCACAAAAGACCTTCCAACATACTCACCGTTTTCAGTCAGTCTACTACTGACTAGTCCAAGTGGAAACTAACCGTATAGAGATAACCGGTAATGTGTCTCCCTCATCAAAATAAGTATTATAAATTATGCCACATTACGTGTGGTAACAAGGTGATTCTCCTTGCGGTTCTCTCTTGGATTAATGTTGTTAATCAAAACACTTCTAAAATCTTATGCGGTGATGTTCTACATTTTCGTGCGGGAATGGTGACTTCTAATGTAAAATTCCAAGTGGTACCGAAAACCCAAGTAACTAATACATATTGATTCATTACCTCTTTCCTCACCCTTACGAACAAAAAGGGCGCTTATAAAAAATATGATCCGAAGAGCAATCAGTGTGTGTACTAAAAAAAAGCGGAAAGTAGAATCGCTAAATTTGAAGCCGCAGATAGCCAATTTTCCAATTTCCAATGGTTACGAGGATGTTGTTTTTCGAGACAGGTTTATGATATAAAACGAGCAACGAAAGGATAATTCCAGCAAAGGCAAAGTCCTGTTCAGCCTGCCGTCCTTTTCAAGCGGAATAAGTGCAGCTATCAGACGTTGTTTGAAATGGGCAGGCCTAAAGTATTCGGTAACAACGGTTGAAATTTCACCGAATACATTGAGGCGTCAACTAGTTCACACTTGTATAACCGTCTATGTACAACGCTAGAATTCATAATATGCCCCAAAGGTAAGGACGGTGATAGTTGGAGTACAGACATAGCTTACTTAATCTTTTGTAAAGCGTGCGGCGACAAGCGCGGTAGAGAAATGAATAGGCTACTCTGAGTTCGCATAAAAGAACGCCGGCAAGCGTAACATCAAGCCAAACACTCTAATAGGCTCAAAAAGGACGGAAACATTTAATGGGGTGGATTTTGTAGCAGAAGTCACCATCGCCGCACAGGATAAGAGAATTCAGCGCGTGCGATTTTAAAGGCGTTTTGGGTAAACACCGCCAAACCAAGCGTGATCCGCAAGGAAGAATGTGAGATGGCACAATATATATTATTATTTTGTTATTACATATTAGGCTATCGTTTTGAACCGAGAGGTGCTTTACTAGTTCATGTGATCTTTGCACGGTCAGTCCACTCTTGGACAACTCGGTGGTTCATATTCATACATACAAGATTCGTAGAATACGATGAGTATTATAAAAAGTACTTTGTGCTTGGTCTAATTAAAATCTTGATCTGGTAAATTTTTTCCGTCGAAGTGATGGAGGTGTTTGGCTGGCTGGGTTATGGAAAACCTGATCTCTCTCAGCTCTGTAGAGGGCAAAAGTGGCGAAACGTCAGCTCATTGAATAAACCGTGTTGTAAACAAAATCGAGCTACACTTACAAAGAAGAAACACAACTTTGAAACATTTCACGTATGCCTACGCTGCTGGTTTTTTGACTTGCCTTTTTCTATAAACCTCGTTGAAAACCTGTCAAGAAGAATTTTCTAGTAATTTTCGAGGTAGCGCGAAGATATTCCAGGGCACGAAGTTGATTCATTGCGGAAGAGTGTTGAGGAGGAGATTGAACGGGCACTTTTCTTATCGCTTTGCTTCCTGATAGACTGCACCTCCAATCACTGCGTCATTCCGTTCAAGAAAAATCCTAACATTTATGAAGAAGATGCCATCAAGCAGCAGCCGAGATAACACGCGAAACGTTCTAAGACCCACGAAAGATAAAGCAAAGAACGAAACGAATGCAAGACTTGCTGGGAACGGCACACTAAGACGTGATAAAACGTTCTACAAAATAAAAACACATTAGTGAATCCTTTTTATTTTTAAGGATATAACGTGGGACAAAAAGGTGAAACACTTGACGATGAGCAATGCCCATCACTTTATATCAATGGGTATATTTGGGACACCGTCCACCGCTAGAAGCGGTCAAATAAAAAGAACTTCATTTAATCCTTAATACTCAATATTTATCGGTATGACTGGGCTCATTGTCGAAACCGACTACACGGGCCAGGCCGTTGTAGGCTGGCGGCCGAAGGCAGATAGATGCACTGTAGCGTAGAAAGAGTGCTGTGTAAAATGGGCGTCAGTAGTGTAACGGATAGAGCACTCGCTCCCGCAAAGAGTGAGGTGCGGGTTCTTGTCCAGCCTGACGCGAAAGTTTTGCGCATCACTCTACATCAATGAGTGAGCAGTGTGTCATGCATTCAAGTCCACTTAACAGTGTAAAGACGAATGGAAGTATGACTGTTCTTTATGATTAGTTATGGTATCCCACCTCAAGGCAATCTCTTTATTCTCTCAGTTAAGAGTGGTGCAGGTTTGATGATCTTAGAAGGATGGAAGCCATAGAGACCCAGAGCGGCAATCGATTAGGGAAAGTGTATTACAGGACACTACCAGCTCATGGTCTTCACCCAATAGATGATAGAACCGTGCTTATTTCTCTTCGTAATGGCTCGCATTCATGATGAATTATATAGCCACACAGATCCTTCCTCACTCCCACAAGGTTACCAATAACCTTGGGAGCATGAGATCTCTCAGATCATCCACAAAAAGGAGCCATAGGCTGGCATCTGATGAACGTCCTGTCAACAATGTCCTCAGAGAGCTAACAAAAAGCCTATTGAATGGCATCAAAAGAGCGAAGGCAGCACTGTACCATCAAAGTCTCTAACAATAGATGTTATTCCGATTTTCAAATCATCATCGTGAAAGAGCTGTTTCTTTTTCGTTCGCTCAAATAAAGTGTTGTTAAATTGAAGATTTCCTAAATGACTACCGATACTATGTTTCAGTTGTTCACTCACAAGAAAGGCGGTTATCACACTGATGTTTCGATTAGCGAAGCAATCAAATAAGCGATATTACATCCACATTCATTCGTCATCCGATAATGATCTGAAATTTAAAGTTGATTTATGCCCTCTGCCACTGCGCCAAAACCTATTTCAAACTCTAAGACTGACTTCAAATTTTCTACGTTTCAAAAATCGTAGCAAGTCCAAAACTAAAAGAATATATCAGAGACGTATGCATAGCCGTTATACATAGTTATCAACAGAGTATCGAATTCTGTTCTGTACATATCACTTTTCTTACGTGCTCGTGTAAGCTCATCGCTAAACACAAATATTGATTGTCGAGGGCGAGACGAAGTGAGAAGTGGC